ACAATTCGCAGCAGTATATGTTGCATGCCATCACCTTTTGAGGACTATGTTGTATCATGGTTTCATGTGATGTTAAATTATAAGAAAGCTGCCTGACTGCTTGAAATTTGTATTGATCTTACTGCCTGGAATTTCAGATTTTCATTCAAAGACTTAAGAACAACCCTGACAAACAAAACCGATATGAATTATGCTATGTGAAAAAAAAACGCAATGTCTTTTTGGTAAAACTGAAATTAATCAGGCCACTTCTGCTAGAGAGTTTGGCACTCTACTTTTTGGTTATAATTACTTTTGGGGTGTAGATTTTTTGTAGCATGCAAGCAGCACAATTGTTTTGTGGCTTAAAACATGTTTGTTCATGTTAAAATATGATGAAGAATCCTTTGTCATTATGTTCTCATAACATAAAAGTCATCAATAATGCATGGATTGCTACCTCAAAACCTGCAAGAATATGTTAGAGGCAAAACAATTGAGTTACAGTTGGTGAGGCAAAATTTGAAGTTGATTTCCATCCTGAACCGTAACTCCCTAGGGGATGTGTTTAAGCTTGAGGCAAAATTTGTACAGGCTGATGTCTCGAAATCGAAGGATGCAATTTCGTCAGCAGTTGATGAAATGCAGGCAATAACACCCTCCATATGCTCATTATTATCAAAGGTAGTTCTTTCTTTTGTTTGCCTCATCCCTTCATTCTTCTATGAGTCGAACTTTTAAGGTTTCTGTGTTCCCCTTTTATGTGTAAACTTTGAAGTTGCCTTCATTCCCATCATTGTGAAGCAAAGTTAGTTAGCTTTCCTTTCTAATTTTATATTGTTCAGACCAGCCAAAGGAAAGTGTGTAAATATTTATAAAACGATGTTTTCAATTTTAGTCGATAATTCTTTGTATTTGGTTGGTTTCATGTTTTCATATGAAGATGGTTGGGTTTAGCTCTTGATGCACATCTTCCCTTATAGCTAAATCTTGGATATGACATGATAAGTTTGTTATGTGTGTTGACCGTTGAACCATGTTTAAGATTTTGCGTTTACTTCTGCATAACGAGAATTGGGTTGGTTGGGTGTTTTTCTATTTTCAAGGGTGACGGATTAAATTAACATGGAGAAAATAAGTATGCATGACTACCTGGCATCAAAGCTCGTCTAACTCAGTCGGTAGAGCGCAAGGCTTTTAACCTTGCGGTGGGTGTTATCTTTTTCCCCTTAGCTTCAAGGGTCAGTTAAATGCTTTGACTTCAGCTTGTATTTATTGCACCAAAGAAGAAGGCTGACTTCCCATTCCAATTCATACTATAGGATCAAAAATGAGATATATGCCAAGTGTGTAGTTATCTGGTTTTGTTGGAACGAGATTACCCCTTTGTTTTCGCTACATCAATTAATGATGCTAATGTAAGATTCTAGAGAGTAAACATTGTTTGATACCATACAATGTCAAGTATGAAACTTAGAGCTTCTCAAATAGATGACCTTTGGAGTCAACTGAATTGTCAAAACCTTAAAAATGATGACTGCCATTTAACCACAGCAGCCGATCATATTAATTTTTCATCGGTTTTGTCCTCTTTTGTTTTGTCAGTAAGTTGCAGAAGTTAACACATTATTGGAAGACTCACAAGCTGATTCTTCCCAGTTTTGCTAAGATATCTTTGTTATTGCCATTGTCATGTTTTCCTAAGATCGACCAAAAAATGGCTATCTCCGCTGCTATAAATTTATAACACGATCCGAGTAATATATGTAAACATAACTTGAGAGATACATCATTAGATCATTACAGAAGTGATCGTGCTTATATGTCAATTCCAATCCAAATTTCTCATTGATGCCTTAGACAAACTCGATCAACAATGAAACTATATAGTATAAAATAAAAAATTTAACCAAAATGATTCCTACATTATTAGTTTTAAATTTAAATAAATCAGTGTCGTCGGTTTGTCATATAGAAGATTGTCACCAACATTTATAACAAAGTGCCCAAAGTTTCTATCCGGAATACATCAAGAAGAAGACGAAAAAAAATTAACCAGGCAATTTTTCTAATGCTTACACATTTGGTTGTGGAACACTATATCTATGTCCCATGAAAGACACCGAAAATACCTACCTTGGATTGCATCCGCTGCTTGTTCAAGATCTGGGTTCTTGCTTTGTTGATGACTGAATTTGGTGATTTGTACATTCTCTATAACGCACAATCCCAATAAATCTATATCAATTTCGTATCTTTGAGTAAGTCTAGACGCATACATCAACCTAGAATATAAATAATTATAATCAACATATCTTTTTTCTGTAAAACTATTATAGCAGTTCATCCCCAGTGAAGGCCTTATTAATTATACACCTAAATCTTACACCTATAAACAAAATATCATCAAAAAGACTGAAAGACAACACTTAACATGGCTAATTAAATATTTTGGTCGAGCTAACCAATTGACTATTGGATATATGTTCACTGTCTAGAAGATTCCTCCTTTTAGGAGTAAATCAAGGAACTCGTTTTCCTGCGAAAGTGAAATAAAATGTCAAGCGTAACCATCTAGTAAATAAAATACGAGGAAACTACACCAAGAAGCGTCAATTTCACTAAAATAACACTGACCTGCATGTGTTTAGTGAAACCTCCACCAAGAAAGTGCCTCAGAAAGTTCAACTGTAACATTTCATTTTTATACAACCAAAGAATCCGTGGCACATAACTAATGTAAGAAACTAAAGAACTGAAAGAGAAAGAAGGGCAACCTAAATCAATTGAGACCATGTTGACGTCTGGAATGAAAACTAAAACATATTGGGTGAGTTGGAGCTCTTCGAGTCCTGGGTTTTGGGTGATTGCCTTCTTCCAATGCTTGATTAGTAGCGTCAACATTAATAGCGTGAACGTGTGGTGTCTGGTCTTCAACTCCATAACTTTCAAATTGATGTTGACAACCACATTCACAAAGTTGAATGAAAATTAATTTTTCTAGGACAAACACCATTGTTTGAGGTAGACTAGCTAGGAGATAAATTATATCTTAGCATTGGGTATGCTTAAGTTGATTAATACAATGCAACATTCATAAAATTATGACTGAAAGCAAAGGAGTTTTCGTTGGTGGAGGGATGAATTTAAATGGTGTGAGAAAATTGAAAATAATTTTGCAAAAACCAAACACAAGACTACAAATTGATAAAAACAATTGCATCAAGTCTTCAGTGAATGTGCCTTTCCATTTCTTTAGTTTGAACTCTTGAACACACTAACTAAACATGACAACTATTAAGATAGTATTGACGGTCGAATGAATTTTTTCTGATGTGGAGAACAAATCAAGCACAAAACAACATAATTCAAGAATCAATAACATGATTCTTACAATGGTTCCAAAACAAGAAACCACCTATAAAGAAAAAAATGATTGATAAATACTTTGAAATGAAACAAACTTTATTTAACACAAATAAATTTTAAAATCATACCATATGATAAATTTCGATGCAAGTTTCCCAAATATTATCCGTGAATGCTCTCCTTCAACAGTTTTCCTATAACAAAATATTATAGGAATTATATATTAATAATAAAACAAATGAATTAAAAAAATAATATTTAGGCCAAACCAAAAATTAATAAGGGACCTATTCAGCATACATAACAGAGGATAGGATTGAGACGGATATGCAGGCGCCAAAATCACCAATAAACCATAAACATTATTAAAAGAACATGGTATTGAAATCAAGACTAAATTGCATTGATAGAAAACTCCAGGAAACATTTAATATACATGTAGTGACCAAATTATTAGAAAGCAAAGCATAGTGCTAGCTCCGTGAATACATGATTCTATAAAAACCTACGCCATAATTAGACCATCAATTTTATTAAACTTAAAATACCCTATGGTTCACGCATGAAACCCATCTCTCCGCCCCATTTTCTTTCCTTGAGCCATTCTCCCCATTTCTTCTCTATATTTTATTTTTCTACAACACTTATTCAAACCCAAGGAAAAAAAAATCAAAACCCTTATTTTTATGCCTTGTTCTTCAATCCTTTTTCTTAGAAAATATATGCAATCCCAAAAAACAAGAAAAAAACCACAAAATTATTATCTTTTTTTATCAAACTCCAACTATTTCTAAGAACTTCAACAATTCATTTCAAAACACCTTTCGATTTCAAACAAATACAAAAATCCAACTTATCCTTATTTTAAAAATATGAAACTCAAGAAATCCTCAAAGACTTTCACTTCTTTCTAAAATAATCTCTGCCATCATTACCTCCAACCATCGACTCTCTCTTCCAGTGGCATCGACGTTTTGTTCCTAAAAACTTTTTTTTTGTTTCCTCTCAACCACTTATCACCCTTAAACCCATGGCCACCTCCACCAAAGGATTTACAATCTCACTGGCCACGTTACATCGGTGGCCACCTCCGTTCTCGCCACCATCGCATCTGACCGGAGAAGAACCTAGCCTGACTCAAACTTTCCCAAAATGCTTCGCTATAACTTCTAAATCTCTCTATTTTGCTTAGACCTAAACCCTAAAACTCACCACCACCATCTACAACCATAAGTTGATAATCCTTTCACCTAGGCCACCGTCTACGGTGGCCGATCGAACCAAAACCCAAGCTAGATAGAACCTAACCTCTTTTTTTTACTTTAATCCTAAATCTAGCTATAAGACCAACATTTAATCACTCAAACGGCTAAACAACCCTCAATTGTTGTTAGAATATATGTTCAATATATTCTGTTTATAGTGTGTATCATTAGTTTAGAATGTATATCTTTGTTTCCTTAATTGTAGCCTAATTGATCTCTTGTAATCATGTATATATTCCACGGTTTAGCAATGAGAAAGACAACGAATCAATCTCTTTCATGGTATCAAAATAGGGTTTCTATTCTTGGTTTCTCTCCTAACATTCGACCCTCTTTTCTTCCTCTTCCTATCTTTCTTCTTTCTTTTTCCGCTACACTACACTTTCCATGGCTGAAACACCAAAATTTCATCCGGATTTGACCATAACCAACGTTAAGTCTCTTGTTCCCATCACGTTGGATGCCGATCATGGAATGTATCACTCTTGGGCGACCCTTTTTAAGGTGCTTGTTAGGGTTCACGATCTCTATAATCATATTATTCCTCCTACGGAGGCGAAGAAGAAGGTTGCATATGAAGCCTCTATGGCCGCTGATCTTGCTCTTTGGAAGCGGTTGAACGCTACAGTCCTTCAATGGATCTATGAAACAATTTCCACGGATCTTCTTCATGATATTATTCTCAAGGACGACACTACTCATGGTGCTTGGGCTCGTCTCGAGTCTATGTTTCAAGACAATAAAGCCTCACGAGCCTCTCATCTCGAACAAGAGCTTGCTGACCTCGACTTTAAGAATTTCTCATCCATTGATGGTTATTGTAATCATATCAAATCACTTACCAATCGTCTCACTGATGTTGATGCTCCGATTCCCAACAGCCGGCTCATTCTCAAGGTCACGGCTGGGCTCCCAGAGGCCTATGCCAGGATGGTGGATTTCATTCAAAATCAAGAACCTCTGCCTTCGTTCGAAAGTTGTCGATCTCGTCTAAAATTGGCTGAGCGGACCATCAAAAACCTTCTAGCTAAGGAGGGTGGTTCCACCAACCGCCCACAGACGGTCTTTGTCTCAACCTCCACCACCCAGCAGAACACTGACGACTCCCGTTCGAATTCCAGAAACACTAAGCAAAAAAAGCCCAAAAATTTTGGAAAAGGCCGTAATGCTAATGTGCCAGCCCAACAACAATCTGGACAGGCCTCTGGACCGACATGGCAGCAGTAGGGTCAATATTCTTGGCCAGCATCCTGGACCCCATGGCTAGCTCAGTGGCCCAATCCTCCCTGCCCATATCCAGCAACGTCGTGGGCTCCTAGACCAGCTGTCCCCCCTCCGGTGCTAGGCCTACTAGGCCAGGTATTCTGGGCCAACGTCCACAGGCTTATAGCGCCATGGCCCCTTCATACACACCTACGAATATTGAGGCGGCTATGCATGCTTTCTCAATTTCGCAACTGGATGGGAATTATTATATGGACACCGGAGCTACATCTCATATGACAGTGGACCAAGGTATTCTTTCATCTTATGTCAATTCGAGCATTAAAAATAATAACATTGTTGTTGGTAGTGGACATTTAATTCCAATTGTCGGTCACGGTAGTACTACTTTGCCTTCCCTGTACCCTCCATTTACCTTAAACAATGTGCTGCATGCTCCAAAATTTATTAAGAATTTAATATCTGTCCTAAGTTCACAACCGATAATATGGTTTCGGTTGAATTTGATCCCTTTAGATTTTATGTGAATGATTTACAGACGAGAGCCAAACTAATGAGATGTGACAGTACCGGTGACCTTTATCCAATTTTTTCAAAACACTCAAGTTACTTCTCCGGTCAATCATTCCGCCTTTATTGCTGTTTCTTCATATCTCTGGCATAATCGCTTAGGACATCCTGGTGCTGCTGTTCTTAGGTCTCTAAGTAGTAAAAAATTTATTGATTGTAATAAGGCTTGTAAAACTTATTGTTCCTCGTGTCCTCTCGGGAAACACTCAAAGTAACCTTTTTATGATTCTTTGTCGTCTACTACTCTTCCTTTTTATATTTTTCATAGTGATCTCTGGACTTCTCCCATTGCTAGTTCTTCTGGCCACTGTTATTATGTCTTATTTATTGATTATTACAACAAATTCTTATGGACATTTCCTATTGCAAAGAAATCCCAAGTTAAACACTTATTCATATCTTTTCATAGACTAGTCCGAACTCAATTTGAACGTCACATTAAGACTTTTCAATGTGACAATGGCACAAAGTATATTAATAGAACTCTTAAAGAATTCTTTGTTCATCATGGCATGATTTTTCGTCTCTTATGTCCTCACGCATCTCCTCAAAATAGAAAAGTCGAATGACACATAAAATCAATCAATAACATCATTCGGACCTTACTTGCTCATGCCTCCTTGCCCCTCTCTTTTTGGCATCATGCTTTAGAAATGGTCACATACCTCCTAAACATACTTCCAACCAAAGTCATAGGTTTTAAATCTCCCACTTTGATTTTATATTAATGTGATCATATCTACTCAGATTTACGCATCTTTGGTTGTTTATGTTTTCCTTTGTTTCCTTCAATTTCTATCCACAAATTGCAAGAAAGGTCCACCCCTTGTGTCTATCTTGGCCCCGTGCCAAATCATCACGGTTCAAAGTGCTATGATATGTCAAATGGAAAAATCATAATCTGCCGACATGTTAGATTTGTTGAAAATGAATTTCCATTCTCCAAACTTCACACGCCACATTCACATGACTATAATTTTCTGGATACAAATCCTTTAAATCACTTCCACCATTTGCAAAGCACTCAACCCTCATTTCCTCAACAGCATCCCAATGCTACTCATGAGCAGTCCGACCCATTTCCCTCCTACAGGCCCTCTTCTTCACCTGGCCCAAGCTCTCTCTCACCTGGTACTATCACACCCCAAAACGAGGGCTCACAGCAGCCCAGTCCACCTTCCTCACCCCCTATATCACAAACTGGGCTAAATTATCAGCATACACCTTTGTTTCATACTGCCCCACACCAGCCTGTGCCCAACAACCCTCCTCAGCAGCCTGCTACCCCATCTCACCAAATGACCACCCGAGCAAAAAATGGCATCATCAAACCTAACACAAAGTACTTTCAATATCTAAACATAATGACCACCCCTAACATCTCCCATATTCCAAAGGACCCTGTTAGTGCTATTCGTGACCCGAATTGGAAAAGTGCAATGTTAGATGAATTTAATGCTCTTATTGCTAATCATACATGGGATTTGGTACCAAGGCCCCTAGATGTGAATGTTATTAGATCTATGTGGATTTTTCGTCATAAAAGAAAATCTGATGGTTCTTTTGAGCGGCATAAGGCCCGTCTTGTAGGTGATGGCAAGACACAGCAGCAGGGTGTTGATTGTGATGAGACTTTCAGTCCGATTGTAAAACCGACAACTATTCGTACTTTTCTTAGCATTGCTCTCTCTCACTCTTGGCCCATACATCAGTTGGGTGTCAAGAATGCTTTCTTACATGGTTATCTCAACGAAACAGTTTATATGCATCAGTCAATGGGTTTTCGTGACAAAAGTCACCCTGATCATGTATGTCTATTGAGGAAATCTCTCTATGGCCTAAAACAGGCTCATCGGGCCTGGTATCAGCGATTTGCAGACTTTGTTGCCACTATTGGGTTCATTCACAGTAAATCTGATCACTCCTTATTTGTCTACAGACAGGGCTATGATGTTGCTTATATTATGTTATATGTTGATGATATCATTCTAACAGCGTCTTCAGACTGCTTGCGAAGGCATTTTATGGCTATGTTGGGTTCTGAATTTGCAATGAAGGACTTAGGTCCTTTGAGTTTTTTTTTTGGGATTGCTGTGACTCATAATGCTAATGGTATGTTTTTATCTCAGAAACAATATGCTGCAGATATCCTTGACAGGGCTGGCATGGCTAACTGTAGCTCATGTCACACACCAGTTGACACGAAATCTAAACTTAGTGCCACTCATGATACTCCATATGAGGATCCCACTAAGTATCGGAGTCTTGCAGGCGCTCTCCAATATCTCACTTTTACGAGACCTGACATATCTTATGCAGTTTAACAAGTGTGCCTTCACATGCACGATCTGCACAATGTGCATATGGGTGCTCTAAAGCGTATCTTACGCTATTTACAGGGTACTTTGTCCTACGGTTTGTATCTGTATAAATCTTCTATCGGTAAGCTTGTTTCTTACACCGATGCAGATTGGGGAGGGTGCCCATACACAAGAAGATCAACTTCAGGTTACTGTGTCTTCCTTGGGGACAACCTGATCTCGTGGTCCTCCAAACAGCCGACATTATCACGCTGTAGTGTAGAGGCTGAGTATCAAGGGGTTGCTAATGTGGTTTCTGACTCTTGTTGGATCAGAAATTTGTTACTTGAGCTACATTATCTCATTCAGAAAGCTACCCTCGTATATTATGACAATGTGAGTGCTATTTACTTGACAGGTAATCCGATGCAACATCAACGCACCAAACACATTTAGATGAACATTCATTTTGTTCGTGAAAAGGTCGCTAAGGGTGAGGTACGAGTTCTTCATGTTCCATCCCGATATCATATTGCAGACATCTTTAGGAAAGGTTTTTCGTGAGTGTTATTCGATGATTTTCGAGACAACCTTAGCGTACGTGACCCTCCCGCTAAGACTGCGGGGGAGTGTTAGAATATATGTTCAATATATTCTGTTTATAGTGTGTATTATTAGTTTAGAATGTGTATATTTGTTTCCTTAATTGTAGCCTAATTGATCTCTTGTAATCATGTATATATTCCACGGTTTAGCAATGAGAAAGAAAACGAATCAATCTCTTTCAATTGTTCCACTCCCGAGCCTCTACCCTCTACTCCAATGACTGACTACGTGGAACTCAAACATCCTTGATGAGACTAAGGTAATGACTCATCTACTTCCATTTTTTATATTTTTACTTCAAATTCTACACATGCATACACATATAAGATCGAATTAAGAAAAAAAGTAAAAGACTACCTTGAAAATTTGTAACAACCTAAACTTGATTGTAGCTAAAGTGCCATATTGGGCTATTAAGGCAACCCCCGATTTTCAAAACCTGTTCGTTTTCTTTTTAAATAATATAAATGGTATGATAATAAACATGAATAACATTAACAAGAACACTTTATAAAAAATGGAACCCCATGGCATAATTTAAAATCAAAATAATACAAACTCTAAGTTATAAATCTAAATACACGAGTAAGGTTCTATGAATATGTATGCCCACTAAAGCTATAATACTATACTCTAAAGGAGATGCTGGAAGTTCCGTTGTAACGGTGCTCCACAAACGGCTATGGCTATTGACCTACGAATAGAAAACATTTGAATACTGAGCTTACAAAGCCCAATAGTATAATCGCTAATCTAGAGCAACATTATGAGTCTCATAAACATAATCATGCTAAAGATATGATACTAAGCAGTAGGTACATGTATGATCTTGATCAAGTGTTACCTATTTAGGGTTCAACTTCTCTATAACTGAAGTAGAAGTCTCACGCTTCCCTTAATCCTCTGCTAAGGGCCTCACCATGAGTATACCTTTAAAGGGTCTCTAACCCTAATGACTAAACCTGCTATGCATTATCTAAATGCGACACTGACTCTACTGTGCATTATCTCAATGCAACACTACTAGTATTTGGTCTCATATAGCCATCAGACACTAGTTAACTGAGGGAACCCGATGTCACATAACATTAGTGAAATTCTCACTATGCTGCTGAATGATCTCGTGATTCTCACATAGCCACCAGGTAGATTTTGAAGGGGGAACATGATGTCACATAGCATCAGTACAGTCCCACTCAACTAAAGCATTTACTTGACCTTACATAGCCGTCAAGCCAAGCTTTAAGGATATCTATTGTACTAGACTGATATAATTATGCATACATATCTAAGGGTCCAATGCCACACAACATTGACATCGCTAACCACTCCTCGTGAGTGTTCGTGCCTCACGCACTGACAATGCCCCACTAGGGAAACTAATGTAGTTTGACTACTCTCTAGCATAACTAGACACACCAAAGTGAAGTCATCCTCTCACTAGCTGTTATCTCGCTCATTCTCTCATCTAAAACGTTATGTAAGGGTTTATTAATCTATTACTACTATTAGTTTATTAAGCTTCTT